TGAGCATGGTGATATTGATGATGATGTTGATTTTATTGATGCTGTCAATGATGATGATGATGATAATGATGATGATGATGCAACCCGGTCAGTCAAGCCTCCTAATGGAAGCCCCAGCTAATCCAATCAACTTTTTCGAGGAGAGAGGTTGTTATTCAAACGGTCTCGCAGAATCCTTGTCTCGAACGATGAACTTAACGCCTTGAAGAGCAGTTCATCTGCACCCATTAACCCAACCTTTGAATGAGCCCCACCAACTGATGGAAAATCGACATCAGTCCCCCTTCTAAAACGGAAGTTCAGTGTGGAGTTTCACTGCTTCAACGTAACAATGCATCTGGTCCAGATTGCCTGCATCCTACACTCTTCAAAATGGGTGGCGAGTCTCTTGTTGCTAGTCCGACGACTCTGTTGTATGATAACTAGAATAAAGACAATACCGACAGTCTAAAGCACCTCAATGGTGATTCTCATATTGAAAAGGGGGCATGAAAATCATGCGAAGAACACCGGTAAGCCATTCCAGTGGCAATAGGTTATAAGGGGCTATCTCGTACTGTCTTTCTTAGGTTGATCCACCAGTTGAAGAGTCAGATTTACGAGAATCAAATCGGGCTATGTCGTGGATAGTGTTGGATCGATCATATCACCACTTTGCGATAAGTGCTGGAACTTTGCCACTCCTTCCGACGACCAACAGCAGTCATTTTTCCTAACATGAAGGCTGTTTTTGATTGCATTGATCGTCAGAAGCTGTGGTAATGTCTGGCAATGAAATTCGTCTCCTCCAAATTCTTGTCTTCTACAAAAGTTTTGTATACCTGCTGCTTGGGTCTTTTTTTACCTGTAACTTCATCATCTTCACCATCATAATCAGAGACATCAACATCAGCCCTGGGGCTACACCACAAAGGTTATTCAATACTACTTAAAGCCTTAGAGTGGAAAAAAGATAACGTTGGGTGAGGGAGGGAGGGACTTGTTGCTAGCCTACCACAGGCATTTTCAGGGGCCCACACCTCCGAATTCTCAGGCCACTGACATGGATTAGCTACCGTTTCTTGCCATGTCTCCAGCCAAGCGGCTGGAGGTGGATCACGGTGACCCCAAACTGGAAGGCAGACCACAACAACACCCAACACTCTTCATGATCTCTTTCACATGTTTCTCTTAACTCCTACATCCACTTCGCAGTTTTTCGTTCTGAGAGAGACATGAAGAACAACGCTGGCCTCGATTAAAGATATTTCGGCATGTGTGGCATATGGCCGAGCCACCGTAGTTGTTGTTACTGTTTTTGTGACTGAAGTACATGCTACACAACGAAATACCTGTTTGCTAGTTACCTCGTTACGAATTTATTAAAGACATTCGACACGAATGACACTTTTCGGGCATCGCTTGTCAAAAAAAAAAAAAACGAAGATACCTCTGATCGTTTGTCCGCTTAGGACATGCCTCACAGCCACACAGCAATCCAGCACGTGCTGTTTTGGTACAAGAGACCCTTGCGATCCAGGGATATGCCTTTCTATGTCATAAGTGATGAGGATTGGCAAACGTGATGTGGTCCTTTGATGTTCAGGCGCCGACTTCATCAGACATACTTACGTTAAAGCGAAAACAATTACCGAGGTATGTAAGATTCTGCACAACATCCAGTGTTTCTGCTTGGTTTGCATGAGACTACACGCTCAGAAGCATGGCTGAACTTCGTAGATTCACGGTACCTGGAAAAAGATGTTATTTAACAGTGCTTGTGCTTGGCATTCGCCTTTCGAAGAGTAGCGCGATGCTATCTGTGTACTCCAGATCGATAAGGTTCTCACCAGAAACGCTCTGATCATCGTTGTTTTGAAGATCCTCCAGCGTTTACCTCATTAGTGCATCGGTGACAAAGTTTAGGAAAGTGGAGAGCGTGCATGCTTCCTAGGTACCAGTTCTTCTGGGGAGGCTTCTATAAAGCTAACTATGCACTCGTACGGCGGGGGTATGTGTGTAAGGACCGAATTGTGTTCACAAACTTCTTGGACATCTCTTTTTGAGAAAATGTCATTAGAAACACCTACCGATCGACAGAATTAAATGCACCTTGGAAGTCAACGAACAACATATTTATGGCGTATGGCTTTAATGTAGCACCTGGAGGAGTGTAAAGATGTGGTTTACGCAGCCTTTACCCGGTCGAAATCCCGCTTGATGCTTACGGGTCAAGGATTCGTGTGCCATTGAGAGGCCCTAGAATCAGTGACGCCAAGAACGTTGTTACAACGGGAGTCATACGCCTTCGTGGTTGCCACCGCCGCATTTTTGAAGATACTAACTATTACTAACTCTCCCCAGTAGGTTAGGACGGTCTCGTTATCCTAGGTTGACGGAAATAGGCTGGACAGGTACGGGCCAGCTGAATTGTTTCTCAGGATGTCGTCCAGTGTTTCAAACTTACACCTTTTCTGGATATCATAGAAGCATTGTGGTCCTTGAGAGTTTCACTAATAAGAGGGTTCCGGAGGCTTGTCAGACAAACCAAATGAAACAATCTGCGGACATTTCAGGCGTTTTCCGCTTCTTCCACTTCTTCAGCCTTTTGGATCTCTTAGTCTGCACGGGCACTTAGTTTCACCTGTCGTCGGATGATGCGTCGAGATATGTTGCAATTCCCACCAGGGAGAATCACTCGTTGGGCTTTCAGCAAAGCCTCAGCCCTCTCAGAGATCCCACATTTGGAAGAGATCGGCTGGCTTGTACCGTAGGTAGAAGTCCTGGTACAACTTGTACCGTTTCACTCGAGTTTTGCTTACTATCCTATACCGCATCACACAGGAGACGTCCGAGAAGTAGTTTTTGATACATTTGTTTGAGTCCTAGGTCCACCAGCTTCTTGATGGCTAACCGAGATATGCGCCTCGAGCATTGCGTTGAAAAACAGCAGCGGACTAGTGCATAGTTGGAGTCCCCACGGGTACTCTAGGATGACTCACATGTACTGGTCGACCCCCGCTGCCGGTCATTGATGACAATGTAGTCAGTTTATTTGGATTCGGGACTGTTTCGTTGGTGTGCACTACGTATTCAAAAGATCTGCACTGTCCCTGAAGCTGGCACTGTAAAGGCGCAGTCTGTGATCGGCACACGTGTGCAGCAGACAGTCTCCGTTGTCCGTGTGTCGTGTCCAACCCAAGAGGACCACCCAGCTGGTTGGTGATCTAGGAGAACATCATATTTATTAGCAAATGCAGTATGACTTGTCAGCATTAGCCTTTTTTGAAAACATCTAAAGTGGTTGGAAACGTTTTGAAAAATCAGATTTCGGACGTTGAAAAATTAACCTGACAATAATTCAACAATTGAAATTTTTGGGATTACTGTCATCCCAACAAGCACTTGAATAGTAAGGAGTAAAAATGCCGACTTCGTTCTGGGCACTTTAAGGTTGCACTCGAGTGCTCTGCACGTGTGTCGGTACCGAAACGTGCATCAACCTTAGGAGAGTATTAGGTTTGAGTTGACCAAGCGTTCGGATTCGAACCACGAACCTTCCGGTCAGTGAATTCGCGCTCTAACCACTTGGGCCATCTCGCCCAGAGGGGCGACCTCCGCCACTCGACTTCCCCCGTCTAGGCTTGGGCAACCTGGCAGTATCCCAGCCCTCGTGTAACCTTCGGGTGGCATGGCAGTTAGGCACCGGAAGGGTGCTACAGCTGAACGCTTTCTTTCTTTCTTTCTGGGTTGACCAACAGGACATAGGGTACGTACATTAAAGGCCATTATCTAGAAAGGATCTCGTGAATTTACCAGTGTTATTTTATTTATTGTCAATTAGAAGTCCGAACTTGCTGTTATTGAATGAGTGAGACAGACTATTGGGCACTGATGTCAGCTGTCACAGCTGGACAGGCACATCTTGACACAAACTTTCCCGTGCACAATTGACCAGCGCACCTTAAGGAACTCCCACGCAACGCATTTCCCCTTTCTCTCTTCTCCAGGTTGCGGTCATCTGGACCACTACGACACGCAACTTCCTGGTTATCCTATTTTCACGCATCGGTTAGATCAATGACTAAATCGGTGGTTCTAGTCTTCACCGGTCCATCTGGTGCGGGCAAAAGCACATTGCTGCAAATGCTCATGAGAAAATTCCCGGACCGATTCGCTTTCAGCTGTTCTCATACCACACGGAAAATGAGAGTGGGCGAAGTCGATGGACGTGATTACCACTTTACAACTAAGGAGAAAATGTTGCAAGATATTGCGGCGGGAAAGTTTTGGGAACATGCGGAGTTCGCTGGGAATTTGTACGGCACATCAGTGGCCGCGGTCGAAGATGTATGTCTCTCAGTCTGTCTCTGTGACTATTGTGGACTTAAACTGTACTTTTGCGAACGTTCGATTACTTATCGTCATGTTTCGTTCCGCCTCTATGTAACACTTCGAAAAACATAAAAGTTAGCTTAATTTGGTACATTTCATCGTCGTTAACCACCGTGTAAACTTTTCAGCTAGTGTAAGCTAGGGATCGTATAATCGTTCAGCTGTAGCACTCTTTCGGTGCTTAACTGCCATGCCACCCGAAGGTTACACGAGGGCTGGGATACTGCCAGGTTGCCCAAGCCTAGACAGGGGAAGTCGAGAGGCAGAGGTCGGGTTCGAACCACGGACCTTCCGGTCAATAAGTTCGTGCTCTAACCGCTTGGGCCATCTCGCCCCCCGATAGTAATTGTAGTGAATGTCCAAAAAAATCAACGCTACCAATTCTTCCACGGCTATTGCTGGAACGACTAATGTATATAAGGTGCATAGATAGGACTAACAGGCAATTTCAAGACGCCCATTTTAGTATCGAACCCTGTTGACCAGTCGGGATAACTTGTCTTAAAACTTGTTGTTATCATCGTCGTTTTTATGTTCTGATGTGGTTGCTCTTGTATGGCATACTAAATGCACTACCGTTAAGCTGTAATAACCGACCTCTGCCTGTCGACTTCCCCTGTCTAGGCTTGGGCAACCTGGCAGTATCCCAGCCCTCGTGCTTTTTTCGGGTAGCATGGCAGCTAGGCACCGGAAGGGTGTTACAGCCAAGAGATTATCGTGGATCTTAGGCCTTAATGCAAGTTGCCATACGAGGTTCCTTTTCATCGAATATACACTGGGAACGTACGTTCCAAAATTGACTCTAGCTTGACAGGCAGTTGAGGAAGGATGAACTGGTTGTAATGCTGTTTCTCCCAGCACACCATGCTGTTTAGTAGATTCTTGATCCTCTCGTGAGAGCAAGGCGACTGAGTGACTTTCACACAACCTTCCGCGTTTCCTATTTGTACCAGGTTTTGGCCACTGGACGTATTTGCATTTTGGATGTGGAGATGGTCGGTGTTCGCACGATTCATTCTTTCCAATCGCCTTTCAACACCAAGTTCATTTTGATTCGTCCTCCTTCGATAGAGTCCCTAGAGCAGCGTCTGAGAGAACGGAACACGGAAACGGATGAGACGCTGAGATTGCGAATTCAGCGAGCACGGCAAGATATTGAGTTCGCCGAGAGTCCTGCTGGAAGGAGTTTGTTCAACAAAGTGGTCATTAATAACGATCTGGACACGGCTTATGCGGATCTGGAAGAATTTCTGCGTCCTTTCATTCATCAACCTACGAGCTAACCTCTAGCATTTCCAGAGAGATTTCTCATTTCCTTCTGGTTTATCGGTTTATTTATTTATTATTTCGTCAGTTGGTCTATTTGATTCAATGCGTGTTGTATCAAGTGTAGTTTTCTGAACAATAAGGGCTTTCATACCTATAACATTTCTGGCTGCCATAAACTTGTGTCAAATTGTTTCACAAAGAAATAGGTTTGAAGTAGTACGTGCGTTCATATTCTTCTATAGCTTTCGGGGCACGTCAGCCTATTCACTCCCTTTAGAGAATGGGTGCAGTGTATCTCTCGTCAAAAATATCTGGAATGGCGCTTTATCCGATTCGTCAAAACACTTTTGACATTTGACGTCGTAGACAACCAGCTGCAGCGAAGGTTTACGCATTTCCCGATGGTGACTTAATCAAGTCTATGGGGAGCCGTCATATCTTTCCGGCAGAACTATTTGTAGCTACGTTCACCAGTTTGATCTGTGTGAAGAGACGTGCGCTGCTATGTGAACCGGCTAAATACTGAATAATGTATGATGGTGGAAACGTCACAAACGAGATTCAGCTGGGTTCCAGGTGAGTCTCTCGCAAATTAGTTTGCAAATGGGTGTATTTCGCTAATTTCGTGCAATTTGGTTTCAAGTAGTAGAACATAAGGTTGACGGAAACTCGGGGACTGCGCCTACTTGATGATCCCCAAGAAGGGCGAAACCGGTCGTGGACTGTTGTAGAACTTTCAGCAACCTTATGAGTAGTGCATTACGAATATACATGTATCGCGATATCTCGAATATCGTAGCGACTGAAGCATAAGGCGGCCTGCTGCAGCATATTCAGTTGACTGGAAACATCACAAATGAGAGATTCGGCTGGGTTCCAGGTGAGTCTCTCGCAAAACCAAATTAGTTTACAAATGAGTGTATTTCCCTAATGTACGATGGTAATTTTTGAAGTAAGGAAATCCCATATCAGGAGATATTCTGTCACATTTCCGACGAATTTGTTATTTATAGAATTAGGTGATAGTCATAACGTGGCAACGTACGAGCACCCTTCTCGTTAGAATAACAGGAGAGGATTATCGAGAAATACACTCATTTGCAAATCAGTTTGGTTTTCACGAGAGACTCAGCTGAATCTCGCGTTTATGATATTCTACAACTGAATGTGCTGCACACAGGCCGCCTCATGCTTCGGTTGGCACGATATTCGAGATATCGCAGGGAAACTACTCACAAGTTTGTCGAAGAGTTTTCCGCAACCCTGTGAGGATTATCCTTGTGTGAACTAACAGAAGACCAACAAAGTGAAGCATACACGATGACAGCCCATTCATTGAAAATTCACGTGCCGTGCTTTTACTGACTTCTGCGACTCATTGTTACAACAATTAGACAACTGAGGCGTGCTCGATGCGTTGTTGCATTTCGTCCGAACCAATTAAGACGTTTGTTCGATAGATAACTTGTGAGTGCACTTTGTCATTCACTGTTGTCTGTGTGGGAAATAACGAGTAGGCAGACATACGTCTCACGCAAGCAGACAAATCGATCATACTGGCCATTCTATATACTACTTTGTCGGCTGACAGTTCATCAGCTATAGACTACATACCAGGGGTACGTTGTTTCCGGCTGCTACAGTTTTAGTCACCGGGAAGTGGGAAAGCAGGAGAGACGTGACCAAGCATTGACGGCGATGGCATAATCAACTGATTCAAGGATTCAGTTGAGTTTCTCGTGAAAACCAAATTTGCGGCGCAGATTGTTTTACTTCGTAAGTTTCGTACATGTTTGGTTCAAGCAGAGCATAAGGTCGACGGAAACTCGGGGACCGCACGTAGCTGATGACATACAAGAATGGTGAAACTGGTTGTTGGCTGTCGAAGAGTTCCCAGCAAGCTTGTGAGTAATTTCATCCACTTCTCTTGATCGTCTCAGCCCTATGCACGGAATGGCAGGAAGTCTTTTCGGTGAAAGGTTTGACATCGCTACATACTACTTTTCCACCAACCCTGGTGTTGCTAACATAAATGCGGACTGTCCACTCTTACAACAGTATCGTTGCCAGGGCGTTGGTGTAGGGGTAGTGAGAATGCAGGATAGTCCTTTGACAGACTGTATACGCCCATCCACATGGGTGGAACAACCTTTCTTCGCGAGTAATTCAACCACGGTAGCACTTGTTGTCGGAATTATGGTGATCTAGAGAGCCGATTTGCGGCTGTAGCTCGGTCTCATTTAGGAGCAGTTCACTGGAACCTTCGTAGCATCAGTACAAAGCGTGACAACGTATGGGTTTTTGGTAGGAACTGAAACACATGTTTGTTTTGTGGCTGGATTCTGCGAAAATCTTGCGAGTTGCATTCACTAGACGAAATCTCTTCGGATTCTTTTACATTCGGGTTAAGCTACATTCCCCTCAAATTGAACTCCTAGCTGTGTACAAAATGGTATGTAGCGTGTGCAGGAAGCCTGATTGCCTCTAGTCGCAGAGGTGTCCGGCCGAACTCGAGTGCGCAGTTGGGTGATAGCACGTGTTTTTTATTTTCCTAGTGTTCAGGAGATGGGCTAGAAGGGATCGTCCCTCACAAAAACTGAGGACAAAGTTGCTTCATTTTATTGAAAATGGATTAAACATGCCCGAGACCTGTAAGAAACTTTCAGATACCAAATTGAAGTAAGGGATTGAGAAACAACCAAATTCGTGAAGTGCTTGAATAACTGGAGTACACTGAGTATGACGCTGGGCCGCAGTACTTTGCGTAGAGTTGCGGTGTTAGATCTCTTCATGTAGGTACGGGAGAGGAGAAGAAATAACATCCGCTTGAGGCATATCAGCGTCAATAACAGCGGTAGTTTTTAACCTTATGAGTTGCGACAGATGGGCTAATTAGCACCAATCCCCCAGCTATCAAAGGCCTCTGCATCTCACCGTCATCCACTTACTCTTGTATGATGGTACTTACCACTGGGGTCGCGGATTACAAGCATAGGCTCGTTCAGTAACAAGAAAGGAAAAAGAAATGATATGAAGTCTTGCCGCAATCTTCATATTCGTCGTCTGCGTGCATGCGAATACAAGTCGTTATCCTTCAGTGAAACTCTCTGGTAGTAACGTCTTACATTGTGCATGATAGTCATGACGTATTTACCCATCTCGAGAAGTTGTTACCCTAGAAGCATTGATTCCGGTAAATTTAGAAGCTCCATCACTGCGTATAAGTTCCGATGCCAGTAGGTTCAGCCATGGAAGTACTACACTGGTGAATGCGGCGTTCAGTAAAGCGTTCATACAGATCTTCCCTAGTCACTTTTGTTAGAACCTTCGAACAGACGTGTTTATCTACCATAGGCAAAAAAAGGTCGCATTTGTTTTAGTCCGCTTTTCCTGTACTCATAAGGGACACACTGCAGCGAATCCTGGAGGTTAATTTGACTAATTAGGTATCTGATGAACACAAGTTATTTACACTTAGTTGGTGCATGGCTTCAGAATCAGGCCTCGGTTTGACTACTCGTCCAATTTTTTCACAACCTGAACTCATTCACACAAATTTTATAAGGTGGATCAAATGAGCAATTTTAACTCCACCATGTATCTTCAGAAGGAACATTGGCCCTAAAGAACGCTGCCAACTTACTGTCAGTGGGATCTTGGTGATGAACCCATGGGATTTAAGGCGTTCCAATGTGGGTTGTATCGTTTTTGGAGGTCCCTGGTTAGAGGTTTTACCGTGTTCAGAAACTATTCCTTTGGAGCTCAAAGATAAGAGAGTGTAGTTAAGTATTAAGCCAGCCTTCTCTCCCACATGTCGGATACTGTCAAGCGACTGTCAATGACCAGCACATTAACTCATCGATACCACCCTGAAGGGAAAACTCTGGTGGGCGCATGGAGTGTAACAAACTGCTAGCATTGGGCAGTGGAGAGTCACTTCCATGTGCACCAGATTACGTCAAACAAATGGGGATGATCTTACGTAATTGATTTCGCAGGGTTTTCGTCACGTTCTGTTAATGACCATTTTCCACGTGTCAAATGAACTGTTAAAGTATGAGCTTGCCTGAGAAGATCATATCACATGACTGCGACTCGCCTGCTGTGCATACGGACTTGGTTGTAGAATATCAGGTCAATCTACATAGAAAAACTTACAAAGACTGGATGGCCTTCCGAAATTCTTGTGAATTTCAAGCGTTTTTTCTGGAATAGAAAATCCATTAATCTTTGGTTTTGAGTTATTATGGTGTGGCGTTAATAAACAGAGGTTTATTGCTCGGAATTTTGGCCACCGTGTGTATCCTGACCCCTGTTTTGTTATCGGATGATTGGTTTCGAACCAAATACGTCCTATTCCAATTTACCAGGCGTTAGTATTGTCCTCAAGCTGTATCATTCGAGGTGTCAAGATGCTACTTCAAGCTTGAATAGCGATAAAGAATGGCGCATGGTGGTACCATTCCGGGTGTTCTTATCAGATGAAGTCTGTACCACATAGGTAACGAATAAATAAATACATAAACCACTTTGAAAAATGCAAGATTTTAAGACAGACACGAAGATTACCAAGCTATGCGTGGTTGAAGAAAGAGTCCGAAATTTCAACTCTCGTAACCGTCTTCGTTTCTTACAGTCTTTCAGATTCATAAAGAGATTTAGGTGTTGAAAATTTGTCAAACGATTTGAGGATTGAGTTATTTAGGTACAGGTGGCTGTCCTATAGCTTGACTTACATTCCTAAACTTTATGGCACTTGGTTTCGGCCGTAATGTGTTTTAATGTGATTTGTTTCGGTTTGGCCACAGCACTTAGAGCACCAGATGGTATGATTTTGCGAGGCTGATCGTGATCCAAAGTCGGGGCACGTTCTGGGTAGGTAGCTAGCCAAGTGTTTGGTTACCCTTAACACACTGTGTCAGTTAGCTGATTAGAAGATTGGCATCACGGCACCTCACTGTACTATTCGACAGAGCTGTTTTGCACGTTATCGGCGACAAGGTGAATAGCGGGTACGGATGAGCAAACCACGTTGAGATCAAAAGTACACATGCAGAGTAAGCGAATGAAGGGGGGAAATATCATGAAATCATATTAGATTTAATAACCATGTATAAGCAATTTAGCTGGGATTCACTTAAAGCTCTCGTGAATGCCAGACTGATTTGAAAA